TATAATCATCTGATATATTACAATAAAACACGGGAAAGCATGAAATAAATGCCAGTAAAAGTCGCCTAACTCGGAACAGTCAGAATTTAATAACTAAGAACATTTTGTTTTCAAATAGAAATTGCTAAAACTCCAAAAGCCTATAACGCACTATGGGTATTGCCCCTCTTAAGTCCTTTGTAATATGCGAACTTTCTTTACCTAACCACGATTTCCTTTTCTACCGCTAGTGTTACTTGCAGCCTTTCCTCTAAGAACAATTGGGGCGTTCCGTGGCCGAGTGGTTAAGGTCGTTGACTTCAAACCACTTGCCCCTCACCGCTGTGGTTCGAATTGGATTCTTTCATGTGAGGAAGCTATCCAGCTAGCTTACGATAACGTCGGTGGTTCTACTCGGGTACCCGTTTCGTGCCTGAAATAATGCACGGAAGGGCACCTGAGGTCTTCCTCCACCAGTAAAGCTGGAGCGTCGCGATATGACATATACTGTGTCGATGTGACGTAAAGACCCAAAAACAAACAAAATCTAGAAACAATTACTGGATCAGCACTTGTCTCTGAAAACTATTAAATAAAACAATATACTTTAATGTAACTATAAAAATTTTAAACAGGATTGAAATGTTGCTATCTCCCGAAAGGGATAAGCTAATTTTTTTCGTATTAAGACACGAAAACGGCTCGATAATACTGATTTAATTAAATGCATATACACACGGAAAAACACTTTTCATCATGTTAGCCTGAATTTCAGTGCGTACTCATCATGCGTGATAAGCAACACTCGTGCAGTTGTATCATGCACGGGCCACGTAAACGCCGATTTCCGATATTTTACGCAGCACGCCTCGAATAAACCATATTGAGTAAAACGTAAACAGAAACTTTGGACTTTGGTGTTATTCACAACTTCGCAAAAAAAAACTTAATTGTAAAATCTTCAGCAACCATGTCACGGGTGTCAGAAAAAATCAACGTAATCAGGCTCTAGGGATGCTGCAAGCGGGTACTAGGGTTATGGCCGATGCACAGCATTTTGGCTGTTCTAGGCAATCAATTCTTTATCTTAGTACACGGCTCGGTAATACCATGATCCGAGATCATGTGCACCTCGTGTGACGTCACTAAGGGACGACCACGTCATAAGGCTGAATCACCCGCACACTTCCGTATACTGTTCAGATACTGAGACTCCGCCATAGGGTTGGCCTTGGCACAGCGTCCACTTACCCCCAGACACGAAACATTGAGGTCGGGTTATTTTCAGCGACGAATGTCGCTTTAGAGTAGTCCCGCTGACGGCAGGGTGCGAATCCATGAATCTATCGTCACAGAAATCGCCCAAGTTGATCCCAGATAAATGTAATGGGATTCATAACCGGGGGAACTGCACTGTTAAAGTGATTGCAAACTAGAAAGTGGCTGTTAAACGGGAAGTGTGTGTCTTGCATTGTCTTGCTGGAAAGTTAACCCAGGACCGTGAGCCTGCATGAATGGTAAAAAATATGCACACTAGCATGTGCTGTAAGGTGGCCGCGCACAACCACAAGCTCTGTCTTTCGGTACCCCATAATCTCCCCTCTTACCATCACACTTCTCCCACCAAACCTATTCCTTTCCCGGATGCAAGATTGTGCGAAATGCTCATTTTTGTGACGATAGATTCGCACCCTGCCATCAGTATGACTTATCCCATATCGTATCTATATACATATATATTCCATATCCCATTACATTTGATAAAAATTGCTGTTTTCATTGAAAAGCCTCCTGTAACAAGATCAAATTGCTATGAAACTATAAAAGATTCTTCAATATTCATCAAACTTGGCACAAATGTTGACTGGACCATTGCCTTTGTAAAGGCATGCTCAATCTTAGATTTCCTGTTAGCATGACAACAATGGGCCAAAATTTACTATTTTGCGTTGATTTTTTCCATCCAAACTGATTTCAAAGTGCTACAACTTCTAAATGGATTGAGATAGAGTCAAAGGCTTTTCAGAGTTGGTTTCACGTTACCTTCTGATCGAACTGAGGCTCACAAGTCCAAAATCTTCTAGGCGATGTGGGGGATTTGACGCCCCCTTCAAACCCCTAAGCAGAATGGGGCACATCCCCCCTCTTGCATCCCCTGATGTATCTTTCTGATAGGGGTTGGCGCCTAAAAAGTAATATATTTTCTCAAATGAAAACAAGTGTTTGGGGCCAAGTGTTTCGCGTATATTCATGTAGACATGTATATATATTTCCACATTTTCTTATACAATCATCACAATGGCAGGTCAGTGATCGTAAAAACGAATTCTTCAATCGTCTTTTCCATGCATGTTTATTAAAAGCTTTAAAGACGTCTTTTGTGTCTTTGTTAAACGCTATTTTATATAGTTTTCTACTTTTTACCTTAAACTAACTCGGAATTGCCTATGATTTTTTTTACTACATTTCTATGTAGGGCTATCCTCTTTTGCCCTACGCAAAATGCGCATGCGCGAGAAAGTACTACATGTACCTCAGGTCGATTTTTCATCGCAACGGACCTCAAAAATATAGAGGTACGATACTTTTTTAAGCTACGATACGTAATAATGGCGGTGGAATGAGACAAATAACGCGAGTAAGAGTCGTTTTGTTTCAAATAATTGTTGTATGTTGTTCTTTTGTTCGAATAATATGGTGCATGCGGAGCAGACATATGACTGTCAAAATAAAAAATAAATTTCATAGTGTGGAGGTTATGAGTTATTGAGGTACATGTAATAGTTCAAATGCGACTGGCAACCTGACATACATGTTAAAATAATACAATTAAAGACATTTGATTACTTGTAGTGCTAACGTGTTAACAATTAATAGCAAAACGGAATGCAAGAAAACATTTAACGAATTATGTGTATATATCCACAATATTTCCGTATTTCTTACTGTACGCATGATATTTGGTTCGATAAACTAACTGTAAGCAAAAAGTTTGGTTCCTTACGATGAGTTTTCATGCATGACCGTCTGATTTCTGTTCCTTACGCATTAGCAATTACTAACAGTACCGGTATGATGAAAAGCAGTTTTCTGCTCTAATACAACGAAATTACCTCTTTGGAAGGCTATCTTAATCGTCATGTGTTTTCTTTTCAGTAAAAATAGTTGCCATAATTGCCAGAGTATAGTCTTAAGCTCGTGAATATGTAAAAATGTATGATATTTAGCAACAAAAGATTTTTTGGCCCGGACATTCCACCAGACATTGAGGGAGAAAATCATATACATGTATATAAATTTTATAATGACTTTATAATTAACATAATTACAATATATACAAAAAACATTTGGATTTGTAGCGCCATCGAAAATTGTGCATTCGACTGGCAAACTATCCAAATGGATATACATCATTACACTCCTTTTATTAAAAGTTCAATCAAAACTCATCAAATTCCTTTCTTTTGATGAACCTAAGAAGCACGCCCCTTGGAACAAAAAGGTGTTATCTGTCTGTTTCAGCGTATGCCTTTAGCCAAACTTCTCAGCACTAATTTCCTATTCTCTGTTTTCCCTAGTGTGCTGCGAAAAATCAGTTCATGGATTCTGAAATATTTTATTAAAGTAAAAAATTATTTTAGTTTCAGAAGGATACAAATTGTCAGCTACGTTTAAATAGTTTACTTTAATCTAATTACGAAGAAAAAGTTATTGTCAGACATAAACAATGGGAATGAAAATGAAATTTTTTGTTTTTTGCACCATAGATAAACTGCGTAGATTGAAGTACTCGTTACTTTACTTCAGTTATAGAAATAGTCGGAGCGAAATCTACAGTGTGAAATAAAAAAAACTTCCTGACTAAAATTCCAAGATCAAAGGGAAGAATAATTCTTTAGAAATGACAAAGGAAGGCAGGGTACATGACGTCAGGCAAGGTAGGAACAGTAGATCCTAAGTCCAATTAAAGAAAATCATTGATGGTACATAGTTTTAAGTAGTTATTGAGAACTGTCAAAATTAATCAGACCTTGGTAGGTAAGTTATTTTCATCGTACAAAACCCATCGTAAAACATAAAATATTTGGACAACCAAACATCCATAAAAATATCTTTGCACAAGACGTTATTTGCTATGCAACTTCATAATGAGTATTAACACAAGTTTAAACTAACATTTAAGATATGGGCTTTGATCTATGACTTTTTTCACCGACACAAAATCAGTTGCAGCCAGTTTACCTCAATTATAAATCTTTTTACAATTGAATCTAAATGCCTAAGGTTTCTCGATAACAATTGAGTTCAGAGCCGCAAAACATGATCCCACAAAAGTTTGCTAATTCTAATAGTAAAGTACGGCTACATTTTGTTAAAATATACCACTCTTAGTGTGTTACATGCTGAAAATCCGCCATTACTCCGTATCGTCCCTTTTTCACAATCGCTTAAAAAGTAATCGTACCGCTAATAACGTTTCGACCCATCATAGTAACTGCCTTAAAGTTGTCCAATGCTCTATTTACATGATTTATAAAACTCCTTTAATTCAATAGCATTTAATGTATACACCTATTATCTCGCTATAAAATGTGATTTTTTACTTAACTTTGGCGGAAAGGTTAGCTATAAATACTGAGTATTCTTTGTACAATCATTTGTAATAAAGGACTTTTGGAATTTATTATAGCGTTTTATTCTCTTTTGTTCCAGAAAGTAAAAAGTAAAAGATGATTCCCTTCATAAAATTGAAACACAAAATAATTATCAAATTTTAAAGAAGTGAGTTAGACGTTTTGTCTAGTTTAAATTTACATGTTTTCATATACCTTACTATAAAATATATTAAGAAATTAAAGGACCAGACATTTTCATTTATTCAAGAGTATTCACATATAATGGAATGAATAATTTAGATTTGAATTTAAATGACACGTGTTATCATTGATTCAATAAAAAGAAAGAAAACGCATTGATAATTTTTTTAACGTTTATTTTTTTCCATTTGCAAAAGGATAATTTTTTTAAAACTTATTTTCATTATAATTAAACTAGAGCTCCGGTAAATGTGTTACGAAAATAGTTAGTTTCCTCAAAAAAATCATTATTACCGGGATATAATGTGTGTACCCAAACTTGTTTACCAGGGCTGAGAACTGCAAACGTATCAGCAGATCCGCATAAGTCACCCGAAATGCGCAACGATTCAGTAGCATATGAAACTCCATCAACCATGATCTCAACATCAAGTGTTGAAGTAGACTGTTTACATATATGAACGGAAAACTGATAGGTGCCATCCACGGGAGCTGTGAAGACTCCGGTTGTTTTATTGTAACCGCCTCCTACATTAAAAACGATGTTCTTGAAGATAACTCTTTGGTTCCGGCCCATATGTCTTGTGACCACATCACGAGCGTTAAAAGAAACTGAAACTTAAAAAAAGAAAGAAAATTATTGATATCGATAAAAAAAATGACTGCCCGAAACCTATATAGAATTAGATAAAATGACAATTTTAAAATAAAATAGAATTATGATATTTTCATAAAAGACGGATGGGATTATTGATAGCCTTTTGTTCCACAAAGTATGCAATATCTCTCCTTTTCTGTTTTCCTGGAGTATAGCTCTATTACCACGCTTGATTTATATCCCTGTATCTGAGCTAGGCATTTCTTCAGATGTTCTAAAAGCATACCGCTTAATATGATCTAATATCTTGTTCAAATTTATATGCAATTATACACAAAATATATTTACCTGTTGACTGGGTCTGGTAGCACCGTCCAGGTTTGCATAGTTGAACGTCTACTGCATCGTCAAAGCAATGATCCCCATACCTAGCAGGAATTGGATTTGTACAATTTCGATGACGTTTTTGTAACCCAGTGTCACAGGTTACAGAGCAAGATTCCCAGTCTCCCCACAATGTCCATCCACCGTGCACTTAAATACATTTTTTTAACATTATATATATAGGTCACTGGACTCAATTTTAAAGGTTTCTTTTAGTCTCTAATCGTATTTTAATTAACATACTTAAATAAGCGTATTTTTCCTAAGATTTGGATAAATTCACGAATTACCGTTACAAAACCCGGTATCGCGCAGATATTAGATTTGCTATCCGTTAAGCAGGTGCGACCTCAAACCGGAAACGATTTTGTAAACTGAAAGTAATAACCTTACTATGCAAGTTTGCTTGTTTAAAAAGAAGCATTGGGGAGGTCTTATTACAGCGGTTGAAGATTTGTTTAATTGTTCAAATGGTGGGAAAGTAAGCACTTCGAATAGGTCGAATTGCCAATCGCAACTACTCGGCCCTTTCCGTCAGTCTTCGGATAAGCTCAGTTAGGAATAATCGGGTGTTCCGATGTCAAAGAAGCAGCGAAATTCTATACATGGTTCACTAGGCCACATGATCGGTGATATTGTTACTTGACTACTATGTTTTAACAGAAATTTGTCTAAACACGTTTTTGCTGAAAATGTCTATCATTTAGAACTCTATGCTTGCATACTCTATTCTTGCATAAATTAAGTCCAAGTGAAAGCATATAATAAAATCAATTAAAATAGAATTATGTATCATATCTATAATACTAGCACCAGTCTAAAAGCAAATCAAACACTTTTTAAAAACTACAACAACTCAACTCAACAACAACATAATTATCTTTAACTCCAATAAACTAAAAGAACCCCAACAACAATGTTCAAAAAGGAGCAAATTAAAGTGGTTCAGGTATACAAACTCTTTGTGAAATACAAACATATGTACAAAAATACTAAATATACATTTTTACACAATAGCATTACATTTGTTCGACAGTGCAGTATAAACTTGCAAAAAGTAAATATATTTGTACTATTTATGGTAAACAAGTTTGTGATTGACTATTCTTTAAACTAGTTTACAGTAGAAAAATAAACTGAAAAATCCCTTGTATATAGCTCAACATTTCAACCAAGTAAATGTAACCTGATGTATACAGACAAAACAGAAAGGAATTTCATTCATAAAATCTAATATTTTGTGGAGATACTGAATGGCTCAAAATAGTACTTAATTATAAGTTTGCAACCTCTTGTTGCACGACTTCGCCATATTTAGAACTTGTAAGCGTTCTTGGGAAAGCAGATTTTACGCTGCGTGTGACCTTACCTCATTTGAAATGAGAATGATAATATCTAAAACCATGAGGGCCATTATGGTCCTCATATTGCTCACCTGACTATGAAGGCTCAATCCAATTTTATTTGGGCTGTGTGACCTTGTTTTGGACCCGAGATGTCCATGTTCGAACTTGATATAGAAATCATCAAAACAAACTATCTGATCAATTTCCAGGATATTTGGACTGAAAAAGTAGCCGTAAAGTGTTAACAAGGTGTTTTCTATTTTTAGCTCATGTGGCCTAGCTTTTGACCCTAGATGACCCATATTCAAAATTGATCTAGAAATCATCAAAACAATCTTTCTGACATTTGTACTGAAACAGTAGCCCCTAGAGTATTAACAAGTTTTTTTCTATTTTTAGCTCATGTGGCCTAGTTTTTGACCCGAGATGATCCATATTCGAACTTGACCTAGAAATCATCAAAACAACATTTCTGACCAATTTCCTGAATATTCGGACTGAAAACGTAGCTCCTAGAGTGTTAGCAAGGTTTTTCTATATTTGGGCTAGTGACGTAGTTTTTGACCCGAGATGACCCATATTCAAACTTGACATAGAAATCATCAAATAAACCTTTCTGACTAATTTCCAGAATATTTGGATCAAAACTGCGCAAGCGTCCTGGTGCCAATTTAACATGTTCTATATAAAATAGATCACTCCTACTTAGGAGATTAATAAAAGCCTTTTTAGGAGTTTTTATAAGTCTTGCGTAGGATTTTGTAACTCCTACCTAGGACGTTCTTATACTTACGTAGGAGATAAAAAAAACCTTTTTAGGACTTATAACTCATACGTAGGACTTTATAACTCCTACATAGGAGATAAAAAAGCCTATTTAGGACTTCATAACATCTACGTAGGAGATAGAAAAGCCTAATTATTAACAAGAAACGCCCAATGCGACGAAAACCAGGTTTTCAACGACCTAGTTTTGATGTGACATCAATCAAAAGGTCAAAGTGCACTGAAGCTATTGAGTAGAAGCTGGAAATTCTATTGTAAGCAAACGAAATTGGCCTTGCTCCCATAGAGATAGATAGATTTATTTCGGCAAAGGAAGCATATACATAGTTGACAATATAACATAGGATAAAATAATGAGCATTATTTAATACTATATCACATACGAGAAAACTATGACATGCTCACCAAAACCAAGGATAACACAAAAAGGGCAAAACAGCTCTTATTTTCCATTGTGGTCCTTTGTATTGGCGGCATGACATAGAGAGGCAGACCTAAATATAATCATGTTTAAAAATACTAATAAATCATAACAAGAGCGATCAGTAATCACATGTGTCGCCTCATGATGGCCAATTTCATGTTAGGGTTACTAATTTTATGTGACAGAACGGACAGAGACAGATCGGACAGTTGTGACAACTAGATCTTGGTACTGTGATCATGTTTTCCTGTAAAGTTGAATAAAATTGCACCAGTAGTTTATGAGGAGTAGTCCGGACAAGCTTTTGCGTGGCAACACACAGAAAAAAACACCTTTTTATCAAAGGGCCATAACTCGGCCAAAAATCATTGAACCGGAAAATGCTGACAATATGCACAACTAGACTTGGTACTGATCATTCCTGTAAAGTTTGGATGGAATTGCACCAGTAGTTTATGAAGAGTAGTCCGGACAAGCTTTTGTGTATCTGGCAACAAACAGAAAAAAACACCTTTTTATCAAAGGGCCATAACTCGGCCAAAAATCATTCAACCGGAAAACCCGTGCAATATGCACAAGGACTTGAGCTACAGATCAATCCTGTAAAGTTTCATTGAAATTGCATTAGTGGTATAAGAGAAGTAGTCCGGACAAACTTTAAAATTAAAAATTATTAAAGGGCCATAACTCTGACAAAAATCATTGAACCGGAAAATGCTGACAATATGCACAACTAGACTTGGTACTGATCATTCCTGTAAAGTTTGGATGAAATTGCACCAGTAGTTTATGAGGAGTAGTCCGGACAAGTTTTGTGACGGACGGACGGATGGACAGACAGACAGACAGACGGACAGATAGAGGCGACACAAAAATGTATATCACAGTCAAATCTTGAGTTAATGATACTCCTGTTTACAGAAAGGATTTAAAACACATTACTAAAATTGTAAAAAGATAATTAACAGACAATTTAAAATCCTGAGCCGAAATATGTAAAACATAGTAAAAAAATTAAATACTGTTCTATTAAGATTGACTTTTGATGGCAACCGGTTTAAACTTTGTAACCTGTTGATACTCTGTTAACTCATACAGGGTAAATCATTCCATAATTTAATACCAGAGAAAGCAAGGGTATTTAGAACCCTGACCTTTGACCTTAGGTAGACAATAGTCCCACGTTCCTTTTGACTTAAGTCTTGTACTATAATTATTAATGTTACGGAATTCTTGCGAAAACTAAAGTGTTCAGACATATTATCCGGGACAGGCCATTTTTTATATCTTAAAAACATGACACTCCTTTACATTATCTGCTTCAACTCTTCTGTGGACCGGTAATACCAGTTAAGGGACTTAAAGTGGGATGGGTCGATATGGGCCTCTTGAATCCAAGTCAAGTTACATAAATTGCTCATTTATTTTAATTTTGACAAGTGTAACGTTATTTTAGTAAAGACTGTGTTCACAGCCTAGATATACCAAACAGAGCATGCGTATCTATAGTTGACACTAGAATAAGAGAACATAACCAGAAGTTTCTTGGTATGGCTGAGTAGAGGACTTTGTTTTCTTGCGGTAAACGAAATTTATTCAACCGGAGAGTTTTGGCCTTCTTAAAGAACAGACTCGGTCTGGAGCAAAAGTGCACAGGTGGTGCTATAGTAATACCCAAGGGATACTTGATATGATTGAAGTTGATTCAATGGATGTGATGTGCACAGAACGGTATATGGTATACAGGTTTAGGATTGTGACGGCTAGCATTTTTGCGCCTTGTTACCCAAATAATTGAACTTCGGTTTTCTACCCATATAAGTGCAATACTGACATTTATTGTGTTCCACTAACCATTTGGCTGACCAAATTCCATATCAGTTACACTGTCAATGCCTTTTCAACAACAGATAAAACTTTTACCATAATACAAGGATACCAGAAATCATCAGCATACCAAAAGCTAATTTATTTTTTTTTGACCTACGAGCTGACATATCATTTACATATAATTAAAAGCGAAGGGGTCCAAGGATTAGTGTCCGTGAGGAACATCCACATTTTATTTTGGAATTGGAAGAATAAGTCCCAGAGACATCTACAAGCTGCTGTCGATATCTGATATGAATATGATTTGAAACCAATTTTAGTGACGTCAATACTAAGACTCTTGATGCTTGCCAGTTTCATAAAAGAAATGGAATGGTCGACTGTCGCTCAAACGCTTTCTTGGAAATCCAGCAGCACCATACAACAACTTACCTTTTATCCGCTTTCATACCTGATAAGAGTCTGTAAGGTGAATCAAAGACAAGTATCAGTAGAAGAAGCCACTTCTGAAACCTGATTGAAATTTATATTCAAGGCAGATCTTAGTCCTTAAAATAAGCTTCAACACTTGGTCATAGAACTCGACATTTCTAATAAGTCTGTAGATTGTACGAACAATTTAAAATGGACCACAGGCCAGTAATTACCGAACAAGACAATTTGTCGTTTCTTATTATAGACGGGGAACAACTCTTGGCAGATTTAATGATCATGCAGGGACTTTGTAACTCTTGATAAGGTGATAAAGTTTTATGATATGAGCTAAATGGACTAGCAATAACTGGAGGATCCATCTCTGATAAATACGTGAAGGTATACCATCTAAGCCAGTAGCTTTTTTGACACCTAATGAAGTTAAGTATTTAAGAACTTTACTTTCGAAACAATGGAAAAAGAAAAAACTGTTTGCAAAAACACCCTTATTTGGCATTAAAAAGTTTTAACAAAAATTCGTACCAAATTTATTGCACACTTTCTGGCAACTTTTCAACAAAGTTTACATGCAACTGTTGTATAAAATTTGTTAAATGATTCAGCAATAAGTTTTTTTCAAAACACACATTATCATCGATATTTCAAACAAATATTTGAAACTGGTTGAAAAATGAACCCTTCTTGGAAGGCAAACCAAGATTTTTAACAGTTTTCCATAAAGAGGTTGAGTAATTTTTGTTCTCCTTAAGTGTATTAGTAAAATATTCCTTTTTTGCTTTGGCAACAAGATACTGAACTTTGTTCTTGAGAGTCTTAAATGAATCCTAATTATCACAGTTTCTATCACATTTATATTTATTAAAAGCTTTATCCCTTTCATAAATCACACTAAGAATGTCTGAGATATCTAAGTGGCAATCCAAAGCTGCCACACAGCAAGTTTGATGAAGCAAACTCAAGTTATTAGTGAAAACTGAATTTCTTTTCTTAAGCAACAGTGACCTTGACCTTGTTCACAGAGACCTGGGTAGCAATCCCAAGTTCAACTTGATATAAGCTATCAAATTACTAGATTTGGTTTCCATATGTTTAAGCAAACTCAAGTTATAATGCGGAGACTGAAATTTTTTAGAAACATTGACCATGATCACAGACTTCTCAGTAGCACTCCAAGTTGCGTCCTGATATAAGCTACCCACACACCAAATTTCCTGTCAATAGGTCTCAACTTTCTCAAATTATTGAGCAAAAACTGAATTTCTATTTTTAGCAATTAAGTGACCTTGACCTAAATTATAGTCACCTGGGTAGTTATCCCGAGTAACTTCTTGATATAAGCTATCTAAACATCAAGATAGGTGCCAATAGGCCAAAGTAAATCAAGTTATTGAGCGGAACCTGAATCTCTATTTCAGTAATAGTGACCTTGACCTTGATCAAAGACACCTGGGTAGCAATCCCAAGCTGCCTCTTAATATAAGCTACCCATACACCAAGTTTGGTGTCAATAGGCCAAAGCAAGCGGAAACTGAATTTCTATTTTTAGTAACAGTGACATTGACCTTGATCACATACACCTGGGCAACAATCCCAAGCTGCCTCTAGATATAAGCTTCTTACAGACCAAGTTTGGTGTCAATTGGCCAAAGCAAACTTAAGTTAGTACGTGGAAACTGAATTTCTATATTTAGTAACAGTGATCTTGACCTTAATCACAGACACCTGCTGGGTAGCAATCCCAATCTGCTTCATGATAAAAAGCTACTCAAATATCAAATTTGGTGTCAATAGGCCAAAGCAAACTAAAGTTATTGAGCGGAAACTGAATTACTCTTTTTAGAAACAGTGACATTGACCTTGACCACAGACACCTGAGATACAATCCCAAGCTGCCTCTTGATATAGGCTACCCATATACCAAGTTTCACGTCAATAGGCCAGAGCAAACTAAACTTATTGAGCGGAATTTGAATTTCTATTTTTAGTAATAGTGACATTGACCTTGATCACAGACACATAGGTAGCAATCCCAAAGTGCTTCATGATATAAGTTACCCAAACATCATGTTTGGTGTCAATAGGCCAAAGCAAACTAAATGTATTGAGCGGAAACCAAAAGCTGATGTCCGCCGCCCCCTCGTTTTGTTCAGCTAGTTCGTATTGAAAATGTAATCTTTAAAACCTTTTAGAAATTTGATATATTCACATTTAAGACACTTAAATGCTTATTGTCGGGTAAGATTTTCGAAGGGATTGAAACAATTAATTTTTCGGGATACATCGCCAATGCTTACAGACACCTCACCCCAAGACACTTCACACACCAGAAACCAGAGACACTGTATTAAAAGGTGCCCTCAATATTTAAGATTTAAAAACTCGGTGTGTGGGGGGGGGGGGGGTTTAAGTGTCTTATTCCATCGCCGATATACCGTTCCGTATGGAAGGGTATTAAAGCAAAAATTACATCTTGCTTTCTTACGTTACATCGTTCTTTCTAACTTGTACATCTTGCATTCTGACTTGTACATCTTGCATTCTGACTTTTACATCTTGCATTCTGACTTTTATATGTTGCTTTCTTACATACACATTATGCTTTCTGCTGTGTGCGTCTTGTTTAATTATATGTTGATATCGTTATTTAACGATCAATTATTATTCATTTGTTGATCTGGTATATTAATTTAGTAACTTAACCTGTAACTGTTTGTATTTGAGGCTATTTACTAAGCTTGAATTACGAATGTCATAAGATAGAATGACGCATAGCCGAAAGCCGAATACAGCAAGCCTAATACGACGCGACATCTATTGTAATTATATGTGACACCCAAATTATTCTAACAGGTCACGGGGGAGAAGTGTACACGAGGGATGGAATTCTTATGATAACTTGTCAAGGAGTTCTTGTAGTAACTGTGACGGAGTTCGTCGGAAAACTATTGTATATACTGCAAAAACGCTCGTCAAAAATGGTAATTTTCATCTTTAAAAAGTGAGTTTTAGGTGCTAAATTAAAGTTAAATGATTAAGCTTGCCTTACATATTGTATTATGTGTCAAAAACTAATTCATAGTCCATTTTTCATCGCCTCTTGCATAAAATCTGCTAGTTTTGAGTAAAATTTACAAATTATTTGCCAATTCGCAAGTATTGACCTGTTTGTTTCAAGTCTTCATCCTTGCCATACATAATTACCTAATCATAATGCAAAATTGCAAACATAAAGCCCCGGCTAACAAAGTTATACCCGTTTTTTCAAATGTCCCGTAATTCTTGTGATAACTCAAAATATGTCTTGGAGTTCTTATGATAATTTTTGTAACTGCCAAAGTGTTTCATAAAAAGGCATCTTCAGCCCAATATGTCATTGTCAGCTGGAAATACAATTTGACCCACAGAAATTCAGTAATAAATACAAAAAAATGGTTAAATCGTTTAGTATATATCTTTACCTTATTTCCTCCATAATGGAAATGGAAATTTTAAAACAAAGGGACGTAATTTGGTAAACTGAATCCGAACCGCAATACGGACTTTACCGAGAATATAACTGTAGCGCCACCTGTTAGCATAATTTGGGTGTCACATATAATTACACTAGATGTCGCGTCGTATTATGCTTGCTGCATTCGCTTTCGGCTATGCGTCATTCTACCTACTATGACATTCGTTCATTCAAGCTTAGTGCAATAGACTCAAATACAAACATTGCAGTTAAAGTCTATTGAATTAATAATACCAGCATCAACAAATTTGAATATAATGATCGTTAAATTAACGAATCAACATACAATTAAGCAAGACGCACACAGCAGAAAGCATAATGTGCATGTAAGAAAGCAACATGTAAAACTCAGAATGCAAGATGTAAAAGTCAGAATGCAAGATGTACAAGTCAGAATGCAAGATGTACAAGTTAGAAAGCACGATGTACAAGTAAGAAAGCACGATGTAACGTAAGAAAGCAAGATGTAATTTTTGCGTTAATACCCTTCCATAGTTCCGGAATGTTGAGATTTGCAAAGCATTCTGTATGCATTTCTTATTAAGTCCTACGTAGAAGATACAAACTCCTAATTAGGTTTTTTTTATACCGTACGAAGGAGTTAAAAGTCCTACGTAGGGGTTATAAAGTCCTACGTAGGACCTATAAACTCCTACGTATGACTTATAAACTCCTAATAAGGCCTGTTTATCTCCTAAGTAGGAGTTATAAAGTCTTACGTAGGACTTATAAAGTCCTGCTTAGGAGTTATAAACTCATAATTAGGCTTTTTGATCTCCTACGTAGTCATACGTAGGACTTTTAAACTCCTAATTACGCCTTTTTCATCTCGTACATAGGACTTATTAACTTGAGATACTTTACAACACGGTAATGTTACAATATAACTGAAAATTTATCGATTATTAACAAGTAAAACAGTTGCACAAAGAAATTTATACCAGGACAAAGCTGCTTATGACACGATTTAATATCTCTCGCATGCCCGGTGCAATTTAAGCCTCCGTTTGATGGTGGTGGATTTGTACATGTCCTTGTTCTACTCTGTGTGCCGATATCACATGTGACGTCACACGTTGACCAAGCTGTCCAGTCAGACCACATACCGTCAACTGTAGAAAATCAACTTATTTTTCATTTCATTAGGTACCTTAATGATTATTTTCACTATTAAAGTGACATTTGAACATAAACATGTAAGTAGCGAGAGTGTATAACTTTACATTTTGCAATGAATGTGTACCAATTTCACACGAATAATCAATAAATACCCATTGAAATTTCTATAAATATTCTTGTCACGTTAAAAATAATGGGACAGTCTTTTCATTTTATAGGCAGTTCTAGATATTTAGAATAATCAGTTACTGGTCAATCACCATTATAATTAACAGTCTTTTACGATATAAATAGCTAATGTAGCTTGATCTGACAGCGGAAAAAATATTATAATGTCACTTTAATGTTAGTATTTCCCAACAGAACATATAAATTATTATTCTTACACTCGCAGCAGTACGCTTTAACTTTCCTCGGATTATTTTGAGTCTATAACGTATATTTAAAACACGTCTGTCATTAATGTAAAGTATTTTATTTTTTTCATACCTAAAGAGCATAGGTCGCAAAACTTAGGACAAATTGTTTTCGCATGATGAATGTCAGCACATATATTTGTGACTGTGTTCAGGAAACCACAATCAATTTTCACATCATCAATACAAGTAGCAGCTGAAAAGGAAAATATATGTATATATGAATTCATTTGCAAATTTTGGTATCGATATAAATAGTATGATATTAATCTCATTAACTTCCACTTAATTGATACTCACGAACAATCAATAATGACTATGGTTGGGAGGCGCATCAGTTAAAATATTATGGTAGGATTTTTGAATTTTAACCTATGTCATCCCTTCTTAGCCTTTCTGTGAAGATATGAAGGCTGGGACAAGATTAGATATGACCTTGACAGAGATTTTCAGAAGATATGGGGTACGAGACAAGGGTATGAGAAAACTGAAATTTCTAGTGGGAACTTAGTGATTGTGGTCTACAAAGACTAGATGATGTTGATTTTGTATAAAAAAACCATAGGTAACCATAGGCTTGCCGCGTTACCGCCTATTGGCGTGTTCCCTGTTCTGAAGGACGGATATTCAATATTATGTCAGATAATGTTTTTCAAACTGTTCTATTACATTATATTTTAAACTCTTTACTTTAATTAAACAATTTTCCATGGAAATTATGTCTACATCCGTAACAAAATACAACTTTTACATTTATACTTTAACATTTATAACGTTAAAATTACGTCATACTAAGCATGCCAACTCATCTGCCCCCATGCCAGATGAAATTTCCAGCAATGGTAAATCTCAGGGAACGCCAATATGATATGCAAGAAATATGGCCAAAGCTGTCAAATAATAGAAGCATAATCTAATTATGGGCTTACATAAGTTGTGCATGCGGCCTGCTTAATCTTTTAATGTGAATTTTTTATGTTCCTTTTGATGTCTAAATAAAACTATCATTAACTTCTTGGGTAAAGCTAATAATTGTATCTCACAACTTCTCTTTGAACTAAATCCATCTTGTAGGGGGGTAGTATATAACATTTATCAAAATAATCTATCATGCTGGAGACAAACACATGTTCTATAATTTTTTGATTTTAGACACGATACAGATTAGTGAGATTAACCTGTATAATTATAATATTTGGTACTCTGGAATTTTCTTGTAATATCCACCTATCAATTAATCCAGACCTAATTGAAATAAAAATTATGCTTGCAATACTTTTGACATATTATCTGTATAAAGAGATTACGTTTAAAATGTTCACAGAGATGTTTGTTACAGTTGTCAGTACTACAGCATTCATGACAGCTCTCTGTTTGTCGTTTCTGTAAATCACGACCAACCAGTTGTGAAGCACCACCACCACTATTTGTCGTACTACATTTCTTAAATATAAAAATAAAATCATATGAGCCGCGTCATGACAAAACCAACATAGTGGGCTTGCGACCAGCACGGATCCAGACCAGCCTGTGCCTCTGCGCAGTCTGATCAGGATCCATGCTGTTCGCTATCAGTTTCTCTACTTGTTATAAGGTTTGTAAGCGAACAGCATGGATCCTGATCAGACTGCACGGAGGCGCAGGCTGGTCTGGATCCATGCTGGTCGCAAACCAACTATGTTGGTTTTGTCATGACGCGGCTCAATTATAAAGTTCTGGCGAAAACAACTTGATATAATTTGCTTACTCGTCATCCATATATGGTATTTTTAACAAAATAAATGTGAGTACTATGCCCCTTGTTTCTTGTTAAATATATCAAATATATGATCAAGAATCTTTTTATATTTTGCTTAATTAGTACGCATATAGCCGGTATGTTCATTTTTGCTGTCCAAACTGGTCGCCAGAGCTTTAAAATCCTTGTCCGGCTTTCACATATCAATTAGCTGGCGGAATTTTGAGGGAAATGCACATTAGTGATCAGTGCAAAGTCTAGTTGTGCATATCACCGAGACGTTCAGCTTTGCTGCACTTAATGGTCGCCAATCTAAAAATAGCAAAACCTTTTTTTTTTCTTATCCAGGAATTCCGGTTAGGTGGTCCGACGGCCAAAATATGACTAAAAATGTGGCTAGACATGTTGCTCAGTTTGCTCTGCAGAAAGAAGACTTTTGAGATACTAAACAATCTTTCTTTCTGCGTCTATTCCGAACTGCAGATTTACATGTACATTCCCATTTTTTATTCGTAAATATTTCAAATATGGTCTGATCGTGTTCGGATTAAACAGGTACCATCTAGTAAATGTAGAATAAACGCCTGTATTGGACACTGTAACACATATTGTGTCATTTGTTGAATACCATGTATTCAAATTGATTCAGCCAGATAACATTTTAATTAGTACGATAAAACAACTTCACACTGAGTACGACTGAAGCGTCGTTGTGCGTTATCATAAATTCCTGCAAAAATCGAAGTGATAAAAGCCTCATACGACAAATTGTATTTACAGTTAGAAAGCCTAAGTAGGACTTTTTAAACCTTAATTTAGAGGCTATCCCTAATTAGGTCTAAATAACACCTAATTCTGAGTTCCAAAGGCCTTATTTGAACTTCGCAAAATTAGGACTCAAAACTTTTAATAAGGAATTATTACTTTAATCTAATAGAGAAGCATAAGGTACTCATAAAAGGGAGTTTGAATAGCCTAATTGGCACTATTTAAATTCCTAATTTTAACTTGGTAACTTCTAATTAGTACTTTTAAACTTCTCATTAAAAGCTCAAAAAGTCTAAATAGGACTTAGTAACTCCTAATTGGAATTTCCATCGTCCTTATTTGGACTTTTGGACTTTTAAAACTAAATTGGTAGTTTGTTAGCGCTTATTTGGCCTTTCAACGCATACTATAATAATAATTATAAGTCATAATTAGGCTTTTATAGCAGTGAATTTTTTTTATTTGAACACTTTCAATAAGTGTTATGTTAAGTTGTTGATTAGATTTTATAAAATACAATACACTAACTAGGCTTAGGTAAGATACGTTCATACGCAAAAACACCCCTTTCATATACATTATCATCTATTTCTATGTAATATAAGTTATAACAGTATTGTTCATGACCAAATCTTTCATAACATCGTGCATAGAAATATATTTACGTGTTTGTCGATGCATCCTAAATTGTATGCCGGAGATTGTCCGATGTCAGATGAGTCTTGGTAACACAACTGAAACATTTAGTTTGCAAAATCGTTATTTCTTTCTGGTATTAACGTTAATTTGTTGACACACGTTGAGCTTTTAAAAACTAGCTTACGTTAAACGAATATACATGTATGTAAAAAATGAAACCGGTCATTGCGAAAAAAAAGTAATTTATGTTTTTAGGAAAATATTTGTATGTTCATTATAGTGGCAGATATCTGCTAACAGTTTAACACTTAATTATCACATTGATCATTAGACAAACTATAAGTATAGTAATAAAATATATCACAGATATTTGTTAAAAAAGATACAAAATTCAGTTAAAAAAAACAACAACAAAAAACAAGCAAATAAAGAAAATACAGATACGAGGGTTGTTCAAAAAGTAATAGGACTAAGAGTCTTGCATCTTCATATTCAATTCAATTTAGAATATTTTTATATGTACAACGATCGAAAAATGTTTTCTTCAATTTAAGCATAAAATTATTGAATTCTTGTGCTAAACGTTATTTAATAACCATGGTAACACGCACCCGGCGCAGCACATAAAAAGTTATTGAAACTAAGTTGAACTTTTATTTTATTCATAATGTATTTTCTTTTTTTCCCCCATTTATTCCGCAAACACAATTTATTATATTTAAGTGACATTATGCCCAAATTTAACGTCATTCAGACATGAAATGGCTAAATCATCAAGTTTTGAACAGCACTGGTCATAAGGTTAAATGTGGAAGTTTGACGTTCGTTAAAAACTGAAAATGTGTGCGATCGTTAAACTTTGCCAACAAATTGGCGATACTCATTCAGATACATATGAAAACATAAAATTAACACATTACAATCAATCGGCTATCAGGATACTCGTATTCAGCTTGCGCAAGCACTTTCAAAAACTGCGCATACGAGATCACAAATAGAAAGGATGAGAATGATAGCGGTAAATTGACGGGACGTTTGTGACGTCCAATGAAAAAGCGCTACAAAATGATAGACGATAAACAGTTCACGAACTGTCCGGCATGTTTGATTTATGCATTGGGTCTATTGTTTCAATTCTGTCGAAATGATTTGTTTCAAACAAAATTCTATTTCATTTAACTAGATAATATGTGTTATCAATAAATTAATGTAATAATGATTAACTGTAATTATTAATATTTTTCCCCAATTTTCTTTTTAAAATGATACGCTGTTCCTATTAAGAAAATATACTTTTCAGTTGATAACTATCTTTATTATTTTACTTACATAATCATATTGTTTTAAGAACGTACATATGTGTTAAATAATTCTATTAATCGCTTTTTCATTAACATCATAAGTTCATGCCTGTTTTATCTATATTGATTACTATAAGATACAAGAATACGAGAAAAAGCGGAGAGTGGCCGGCTATCAGGCTTTTTTCCGACGAGTGGAACGAGAATGTGATCGTTTTCTTTCTCGCTTCGTCTCCACATATGAGGTCTGGGTAAAGTTACATGATTTAGACACCAAGAACACTAGGGAGATTTTTTTCAGAAGGGATGACGCTTGATATATTTTTGTTTTTATTTTACGACGTCATAAACGTCATTTATTCTGCTGTTAGAGTGCGCCGGGTCGCGTACCCCTTGTCATTTGAAATTTTCACAGACTCGTTATTTTTAAACATATTTTATTGGTTTTTTCACTGTATTTAGAGGATATGTTCCGATATAATTATCTTGTAATATAAAGCACGTAAATTAAAAAAATGTGAACAGTAGAACTGCAGTCCTATTACTTTTTGAACAACCCTCGTATATGCCTCTTATATAGCTAATGTGCTAGCTGAACTTTATGTTAGCAAATAACAGGATTTCCAGTAGTTACCTGACCAGATCCACATTTTGCAGTATGTGTGCAATTGTCTTTATTAAATATATTGGTACAACTATAACACTCCAGGCAGTCTAAAATGGTACAAAATTTCACAGCAAGTGTACATTTCAACCATAAAATGGTTAATTATATAATAAATAACTCAGGTTTAAGCATTATCAACGCATAAAAAAGTAACTAAAATTACCAGAAAAGTGTAAAAGACATTGAGAATTGTTGTAAGTTTTGATAAAATATTTGAAAATCATAAATAATGCAAAGTTTGTAAAATGAGCAAAAGACAAGAAAAGTGTATGATAAAAAAGTAAACTTACCAACATGTCGTGCACCCATACTGAAAATGAATACCATCAAGGCTGAAATTATCAGAAATGAAACAAATTAAATAAGGTAGCATAAATGTGCATTTTAAAATGTTTGAAAATGGAACTTGATAAATTAAAAACCAAAGTATTCGTTCAATTTTAATATATACTACTCAAAATTTGCTCAGGATCATTTTTTTCTACAGTGCGTTACTTGTGTATTTGTAATAAATGTGAAAATTGATTAAAAGGAATTAAATATAATTAGTCAGGAATTGATTTTATGAAAATAATGACAATGGAAGTGTTCCTTGACGTGTGCCTGTTGCGGAACAAGTATGCTGGACTAAAATCAACATTTTGGAGATCATATAGTGGATAAAAGAAATCTTGCAAATCAAGAAATGGTTTGGCGTAGGGTGTTTTAATACCGAGTATGGTGTCCGCGGGCATTTAATTACGGACTGACATCGCCGCCGCATGGTGCTGATGAGCCTGCGGACCTTGTGATAAGGAATCTTGGCCCATTCCTCTATGATTGCATGCCTTAGCCCCTGAACTATTGTCGGTTGGACGTGCCGTGAAAAATGGCTTTCTGCAGCATATCCTAAGCATGCTCAATTAGATTTAAATCCGGGGACCTCGCTGGCCAATCCATGCGGACTATAGTTGTCGCCTCAAGACACCGGTTTGTGATGTGGGCTCTATGTGTACGGGCGTAGTCATTCATAAGAATGAAATCAGGGCCGACTGCGCCAGCGTACGTGCGTACATGGACGTCTTAGATTTCATTAACGTACCTTACTGCCGTCAGTGTACCGTTTTCAATGATGTTAGGTCCGTTTTTCCCTGAGCACTTATTCCAGTCCACACCATGACTGAGCCCCCGCCAAAACGGTTGTGTTCTGCAACGCATGCTGGAGCTAAGCGTTTATTCGGACTTCTCCAAACCCTAGCCAGTCTGTCCGTGAAGTCCACACAAAACCTTGACTCATCAGTAAAGAGGATCGGGGTTCAGTCATTAACCGTCCATATGACATGAATCTGCGACAATTGCAAACGCTCTTGAATATGACGTTGTGTCAAAGGAATGCGAAATGCTCGCCTCCATGACCTCTACCTAGCATCATGCAACCTGTTTCTAACAGTTTGCGTGCTTACACGCACACCAGTGGAAGTCGTTGCGTAAGGTCGTAGCGTTCGAGAACCGTTTGCGCCTGAAGGACAATAAATCGGTCCTGGGCTTGAGTCGTTGAACGTTCCCGACCTCCGGCGTGACCCTGCAAGACATTTCCAGTCATTTGGAATCGGTTCCACGTCCTGGAGACAACGCTCTGGGATACCCTAAGGACATGGGCAACGTGCCTTTGTGAACGGCCAGCCTTCAACATTCCAATACCCCTGTTCATCTCATCTTCACTAAGACGACGTCTAACCTGTAGATTTGCCCTAGTTTTTCTTTTATTTCGAACACAGTTTTACATTAGAACGAGAGAAGTATTGCTGTTTGTAAAGGTTTAAGAAAAAGCACATGGCCATAAGACACCAAATTTCCATGGGTATGATTTTCCACGTGTTTATCATGCAAGGTGTTCATGACAAATCGATATGATTTAAATATGATGATAATAGGACTGAAAAAGGTGAATCTTAGCAAATGTTGAGTTGTAAATATATACTCGTAAAACTTTTAACAAAATCTGTTCTGGCCAATATAAATATTAATTTCATACTATTGGTATTGCTCGTGATTCATTATTATTATTATTATTATTATTATTATTATTATTATCATCAACATCATCATTTAACTTGTGTGTAAAAATTTATATATTTATAATTAAACCCTTACTTACCAAAATAATAAGATCTATATGTAATCATATTGTCTCTCCTTTGGAAAGTACACCCTACTGATAGCAAACCTTTGGCTGTACAGAATTCTTATTCGCTCCGACAACCTTTTTATCGGTCAATGAATATTAAACAAGTTCAGATCATTAGTGTGACATATTATTGGGAGTGCCCTATGGCCTACATAATAAGATGAGATAGTGATCCTTTATTTGGCATCATGTCCTTGAACATCAGCAATAAGACATTGTAAAGTCTGCTGATACGAAGCATTATTTATCAGTTCTACTACATCAGACAAATAAAGCCAAATAAACCCTTAACAGTGAAAATACTAAATCCGATACATGTTAATTTAGACAGTCGATGTGTAATTTAATATAGCAAGAGATCATAGATCTTGTCGTTTGTGTAATCTTTACTTGTAAGGTGATTATATATGACAGATGCCAAAAGATGGCTCTATGAAATAGACTTCATTTGGTGGTAATTTCAGACTAGAAATAACACGGTGTAAAATATAATTTTAAATATCAGGTGTTTATTGAAAAAAGTATTAAATATATATAAATTATGCCGAAGAATCATTACATTACGAAATGAAACAAGAAAATAGAAACAAACAATAGATGGTTAATCTATTTTTATGTATTGTGATTAGTCTCTGTAAATGACTTGCCATGTTTTACAAATATTCACTGTTTATATACCTCATGTTTGTATCATGTATGATGCACTGAAAGAAATAAAGAATTTGAATTTTTAATGAATTTTATTATCTCTTCAACTGTGCGTACTTTTTCGATATTAGCAAGAAATAATAGTTTTTTTGTTTTTTTTTTCTTTTCTAAAAAAGATTATTTTGGTGCAAAATGGTCCATAATTCTTTCAAAAACCATGCCATGTGGCTTTGCATCTCCTTAATCACGGAGGTTGTGAAGTTACAAACAAATATTTTAGTAGTTTATGAAATTCGATGCTGGTCGATACCCAAAGTCCAAATTTTGCTGTTTCTTGCTATAATTGGCTGTTACTTTGTTATTTTTGAATGGATTGTCTTCAAACTTGAACATAATAATCTTCAAGGATAGCCCTCTAAAATAACCAGACAGACCTTAACCTTCACTCATAAATGTCCTTGACTGTGAAGGTCAAATTATTGAAATTTTCATTTATCTGCTTTAACTGGCTGTGACTTTGCTATTATTGAATGAATTGACTTCATATTAAAACAGAACATTCTTAAGGACAATACCTTCATGTTTATCAAACTTAAATTGACTTTGGCTCTTTTATGACCTTGACCTTGAAGGTTAAATTATTGAATTTTCACTGATTTGTGCATTAAATATATATAAATAAATATGTATGTATACAAACATCATCCAAACATCATAAGTATTGACAAAAATAAATTTTATGAAAAAAAAAATTTATGACTCTAAAAAATTATAAAGGTATTTTACTCTACTTTCATTTTGCATAGAAATATCACTAGCATCTCAATTATCAGCGCATATATTCATCAATTTTTTAGAGTCATAAATTTTTTTTTTCATAAAATTTATTTTTGTCAATACTTATGATGTTTGGATGACGTTTAAGGGTTTTGGGTTGTTGAAGGGGAACGGGGGTATAGTGTAAGTCATGGCCATGCGACGTTCACCTTTGTTATCTATATCTCAATTATTTGGAAGTAATAAGAATTTGATATTAAAACAGCCTGGGGACGGGTTTTATCCTGATGTTTGGCCAGTCCACACGCTCAGGTCAACCCGCCCCAATCTATTTTTTATTAGAAATTGTTTTAGAAAATTGATATTTATTATTTGATATATATGGTATATTTCATTTTTATTTTGGATTAGCAAAGGAACCTGGAGTCAACCAGAACCCCTCCCCAGCAACGTAGGATACAAGTATCCCCCTCCCTGATAAAACATGGACCTGAAGGAAAGCACAGGATTTCTCTGAACCCCCACCTTACCCAAATCAGTCATTTATATTAAAATGTTTGGGATAGATTAGGATTCTCATATGCTATATAGGTCTAATTACATGAAAAATGATGGAAAATTGTACAAATTGATCAAAGATAGTTTAATATCTAACCCAAATAATTATATGCTATATTCATTATATCTCTTATATTAACAGTACAATAATACAGAAAATTTGAAAAATAGAAGATATTTATAAGCTATTTATTGTTTATTTCAAAGGGGAGAGTAGATAACTCGTATTATTTGGTTGTTTTATATATATTTGACTGTATAATCTATTCTATTGCATGTTTTAGCTAATTCTTGATTGGTTTTATTCCGAGAAGCCATTAAAAACATATTATGATTTAGATTTGGTCTATCCTAATGTGTTTAGGTTAAAGTAACAATCTGATAAAAATTTAGTACAAGAATGATTAGTTCTCTCCCTTGGACTGGGAAATCAGAAAATTAGGAATCATAGGAAATTAGCCAAGGCCTTGTTATTTTTTAGTGAATTTTGTTGGGGTTTTCGTCATTTATATGTTCCTGTTATTTAATATAAGGGATTTATGTTGGTTAACTTAATTTGTTTTGTTTCCTAGGAGGTTATAATTGTGTAAAATTATCCCAATTTTAGTGAATAATTAGTGTATTATTTGAGATTTTTGGGCATCATAGGAAATTTGCTTAAACCTTTTTAGATTTCAATGAATTTTTGGGTTTTTTTCTCACTTAAGTCAAAAAGATAATATAATGGCCGGGTTGATGTTGTAAAATGCAAAATTCCTCCTTATTTTAGTGTTTTGGTGTGATTTATTAAATAGGTACCCATCATAGGAAAATTGCTACAGCATTTTTATTTTTTATTGAATTTAGTTGGATTTGTTTCTTCAAGTCATGTAGATATGGCTATTAATTATTAAGGATGATTTTGATTGGGTTTTCTACTCCATTAAATTTTATGGGGAGTTAAGTATTAGGTATAATTTGACTCTGAAATTGATCAGGTAGCAAGGGACTTAAGTATGCAAACTGGGTCTCTATTAACCTGATATTGTAAATTTATATTAATATATAGGTCTTACATAAACAAAAGAAATTGTATATTGAATTTTGTTACTTATGGTTATATATGTTTAGGTTATATATTTTTATATTACCTGAGGGGGACACTGACACATTTAGTCAGTTGGTACCTCAGATTTTGTCAGTTAATAATTGGCGTCCGCGCCGAAGCGCGGCGCCTATTGGAATGAAATGAGATTTTGTGAAAGGGCGACAGCAACTTCTCGAGCCTTTTATAGTTGCCAATAATAAAAGCCGATCATTCCGATCGGTATGAGGGTGCTTGATTGTTAATTAGTCGCGATATGTACAATGAATGGCGAACTGGAGAATTTCGCAATGCAAACATTTTCAAATGAAATAACCTTTTCCGTCAATAAATCGCGCTCTTCGGGGTATTTTTGCTTATCATTTTGTAGTACACAGTGGGTTATTATGGTATGTTATTCCGAAAGCTGTTAATAGAATGATGAGTTGATGACCTTAATATTCCGAAAATCTATTTATAGAGGGATGTACTCCTAGGTAATTCCCGGTCTCTCCCGGGATTTACTAATGACCGGCGAATAGTACCACACGTTTATTGTCCGGTCTCTCCCGGTTTTGGAGTAGATATCGTTACAGAACAGAACAAATATTTTACAGATAAATTAGGCTTTTTTCAAAATGAATGTTTGTCACTTAGTTTGGTTCAAATAATTAATAAACACAGATCAACTCTCGAATTGATTGATTATTATTATACATAAACATACAATTCGAAAAAAAAACCAACAACACAAATCGCATGTTATATTTTATCTATATGAGATAAAAACAATAAATATGTACAATAATTGAGAAAAAATGTACATTTTTATGGCATTAATATGACACTATCAACTTTAAAACATTTTATATAATTTGTTATTCGTGTTTAGTAAAGATTCCGAGGAATTATTCAAAGTTACAAATCAGATTTTATGAATTATTCAATTGATTGATAATTTAAAAAATGATAAAGAAAAATACAAATGTACATGTATATGGTTTAAGAATAAACAATATTATAAATTGAAAGATTAACCATGATTTACTGACTTTTTCCAGTTAAGTTTTGACTTATAATCGTCGATCATTATGACAATTGAATTCTTAAAATAGTAGTAAACGTAAAAACTCAGTATTAAAATAGCGCATAAAACACACACAAAAAAAGAAAAGAAAACAATATTCATAAAATCTGTATTTTTTTTATTAAAATAGAAATTACATTTATTGTATAATAAACTATTATGCTCAACATGATTAACATGGTAATATAACAAGTGTCATATTGTTACTAAGTGTGAACAGATACCTTAAGAGGGGGTCCTCGTTAATAGCAATAACATAATAAGGGACAATTACACAAGTATGGTGTTGATCATGCGTTACACATATGGATTATAAATGATTGTATACATGTATATCCGTTGCTATTAATAACCACGATCATAAAGAAATAACAAGTAATATTCTAATTTCTAGCATGCCGATCAAAGTAATAAATAATGAACAATGTCTTTCGTCCGTTCATTCAAAAGTGATATACAATTCTGGTAAAACCCAATGAACCATTGAAAAGTTTATAAGAATATCTTGTCATCATATATCTACTAGTTCATCTGCACCTGCTGTTTGGACGCCCTTTGATGCTTTGCATCAATGCTTTTCTTGTTTTTACTCTAGGATGAATATCTCTAGAGCACAATATACATTATTGTAGTGTTTTTAGGAGGATTTAAAATATTGTCTATATTAAATCCAAGTCCCACTGATCCAATGCGGCCAATCAATTCCTGCCTCTGGGCTGAAAATTGAGGACATTCGATCAGTAGGTGGTCAGAACCATATTTCACTCCACACTGAGGTCAGGTTGGGTCTATTTACTTACATTTTTTAGGCAAATTGAGGACATTCGATCAGTAGGTGGTCAGAACCATATTTCACTCCACACTGAGGTCTGGTTGGGTCAATTTTCTTACATTTTTAGGCAAAAGTCAAGCCGCGCGATCGCCGTACAAAACAATGACCACCCGGTGTCTGTGCATGA